TTCGTTATTTTTGTTTATAAAAAATCAAAAAAAAAAAAAAATATTTTTACGAAAATATTGATATTTTATTTCTAAAAAGTGTTTTTTAGAAAATATTATTTTTAAATTTAAAAAATATTTTTCGGCAGATTTTTGGAAAAAACATGATTTTTTAAATTTTGCAAAAAAAATATTTGAGGTTAACAAAGATCGTCTTTGATTTGCCAAACTATTTTGTGGAAACCAATGCGCATGTGCATAAACAACAGTTTGGATGAAAAAGGGTAGATAATCGTAGGATTTAAATTTTAAAGGATGACTAATGAAAGCATCAGCTGTTTCAGGGTAGATTTAGGATAGATAATCCAGCCTCTATTTAGGGTGGATTTATGACTGATGAAACAGTACTTCCGTAATCGTGCGACAAGTCTAAAACGTAGGATAAACCTACGATTTATTAATCGTAGGTTTATCCTACGATTAAGATACTTGTCTGACGAAGTGGCCTTAACTGAACTATAACCTCGTTGAGTTTAATTAATATTCCGCCGCAGAGGTCACTGTATCTGTAGAAAACTTAGAGAAAACACGATTCTACGTGTTTTATTTTACAGTTTACATATATGAACTTAATGCTGTCGCAATCTATGCACCTATACTTCATTTACTCTAATCTTAAACTATCACTTGTAGACAAGACAGAGTCTCTGTACCATATTCCTTGAGTAGGATTAGTTCTTAAGTTTTCAATTAAAACTTTTTTGTATTATTCGCATGAAAGAGGAGAATTTTAGAGCATTTTAAGTTTGTTGATGAATTACGTTATAAACTCCAAACAAACCTTAAAACATGTCTTAAATAAAGAAAAAATTTCAGTTTTTCATCCAAATATTTTAAATAGAATCATACCAGGCTGTAAAGCTTCAATTCTTCATCTGTGAATCCAGCGTATTCAGCAGTTTTATATTGAGAGAGATTAAACCACAGATTACAAAGATGAAGCACAGTTATAGGGTTGTTAATCGTTTTTAAAAGCGATAAAAACTATCGTTTTTCGGTTAGTTTTTATTACTTTTACTAAAAACGATGGTGTCGTTTTTAGAAGACAAAATGCGATGGGTCACAAACAAAGAACAAATCATTCGTTTTAAACTTTTGAAAAACGAAACGACGATATTGAAAAAAGGAAGAAAAAAATAAATTAACTATGCCGCGTACAGTTTTATTTTATAAAAAAGGATGAAAGCATAGCATTGGAATAGAATTCTTGTTTAGCTTTTGTACATGATAACCAGAAAACACAAAATTTTGAAGTAGCGTATGTTTTAGGAAAATAGAACGTAACAGGCCAACCGACAAAAATTGTAATACTACATGATATGAGAAACTAAATATTTCTCAGTTATTCTGCATAATCTCTGGAACCAATTGAAAGGCAAAAATTGTAATACTACATGATATGAGAAACTAAATATTTCTCAGTTATTCTGCATAATCTCTGGAACCAATTGAAAGGCAAAAAAAAGCTCAGTAACTATGTGTAATCTTAGAAACAAATATATAACTGAAAATCTGCTATTCTCAGAACCAAATAAATCTCTGTGATTCTATACAATCCCAAAAATCAAATTTATCTCTGTAATTCTATCAAATCTCTGTAACCATATACTTTTTTCTGTAAAATATCTGGAACCAAATTTATCTTTGTAATTTTGTGAAATCTCTATTACCAGATATATCTCTGAAATCCTGTTAAATTTCTGGAACCAGATATATCAGTAATTCACTAAAATTTCTGGAACCAAATCCGTCTCTATAATTCTATATAATCTATCTTTGTAATTCTGTATAATCTCTTTAACAACATACATATCAACATTAAAAGTCTAAATTGATCATGAAACCTTTCATACAAACATATTGTTCATGTTCAATTCATATTGTTTTATTTATTCGTTACTTTTGGGGGTTAAATGAATTTTAAAAAATTGTTAAAATGCTTTAAAATACAAAATTAACAATAAGTTGTTAGTTTCCTCACTCTACTTTGCTTCAAATTTCTGAAAAATTATTATCAAAGCTATTTAGACGTACTCGAATTTGTAGTTGTCAAAAAAAGACATTTATTAAATACTTGCTGAAGGGCCCGGCGTTCCCCGTAGAATTTTTTTTAGCCTATGTCAACCCTCTGCTATCCATGTGGGTCCAAAAAAATTCAGCCCATTGGGTCCAGCCGTTTGGCCGGCTATAGGGATTAGGAAACATATATATGAATGTCTTGATTTATTATATATATTCTGGTTAGAAGTTTTGATAATTTCCTTTGTTAAGTATTGGTTGTTGAGTAAACCATTGTCCAAGTTGTGCTGGATCCAGGGACCCAGGGGTACACCTAGAAATAGAGTTATAAAGGGGGGATCCAGGGCCCCAGGAGTACACCTAGAAATAGAGTTTTAAAGGTGGATCCGGGGACCCAGGGGTACACCTAGAGATAGAGTTATACAGGGTTGATCCAGGGACCCAGGGGTACACCTAGAGATAGAGTTATACAGGTGGATCCAGGGACTCAGGGATACACCTAGAGATAGAGTTATACAGGATTGATCCAGGGACCCAGGGTTACGCCTAGAAATAGAGTTATACAGGATTGATCCAGGGACCCAGGGGTACACCTAGAAATAGAGTTATAAAGGGGGGATCCACGTAACCAGGGTTACACCTAGAAATAGAGTTATAAAGGTGGATCCGGGGACCCAGGGGTACACCTAGAGATAGAGTTATATAGGGTTGATCCAGGGACCCAGGGGTTCACCTAGAGATACAGTTATACAGGTGGATCCAGGGACCCAGGGATACACCTAGAGATAGAGTTATACAGGATTGATCCAGGGACCCAGGGGTACACCTAGAAATAGAGTTATAAAGGGGGGATCCACGGACCCAGGGTTACACCTAGAAATAGAGTTATAAAGGTGGATCCAGGGACCCAGGGGTACACCAAAAATAGAGTTATAAAAGGGGATCCAGGGACCCAGGGGTACACCTATAGAAATATAAAAGGAAGATCCAGGGACCCAGGGGTACACCTAGAGATAGAGTTATAAAGGGGAATCCAGGGACCCATGGATACACCTATAGAGTTATACAGGGTTGATCCAGGGACCCAGGGGTACACCTAGAGATAGATTTATAAAGGGGGGATCCAGGGACAAAAGGGTACACCTATAGAGTTATAAAGGTGGATCTAAGGACCCAGGGGTACATCTAGAGATAGAGTTATACAGGGTTGATCCAGGGCCCCATGGATAAACCTAGAGATAGATTTATAAAGAGAGATCCAGGGCCCCAGGGATACACCTTTATGTATTTTTAGAGATAGAGTTATAAAGGAGGTACAAATCTTTCCTTGTTTTAACAATGTGATAAAAAACTCAAATTTTAAAATTAATCCAAATCAAAACTTCCTCTATCCTCTGCAGATTTTAAAGTTAGAAGTAGATAAGAGTTTCAATCCAGAATAAAAACTGATAATAAACTTATGTTGAACGTTATACTATAATGAAAAATTAAAGTTATCAACAATAGGTATTTAAGTAATACCTGAAGCTAGGAGAGGATATATGCTCAAGTCCAGATTTATCTCTGCAAAAGAAATATTCAAAGCTTCCTTATTATTCAGATACAGGGTTATCCACAAAAGATGAGAATTTAAGGACGACTGTTATATGGAATCTTCTCAGTCTTTAATTCTTACATTAATGTTTCCCTGCAGATGTAACCTTAAATATTCCTCTATGTGAAATAATATAAAATACCATTTGGAAAACGTATTTATTCCTCTGCAAAATGATAGAATCTACCGTTTATAAGATCTTGTAGATCTTCATTTTATATTTTTCTCTCATCCTTGGTGGGTAATATAGATAGTAATTTCATTTCTTCTTAATTCCTTAATCTACAAAAGTTTGTAAAGTATAAATCAACACTCTAAATTACGAAATTATAAAATCGCTTATTTGAAAGCCATCTATCTTTTGCTTCAAATAAGCGAATTTTTTGATTTTGTATTTAGGAGTGAAGGTTGTTAATTAGAGAATAAAAATGTTAGCACTTCACTCAATTACTTTCATCGCTAATGGGATTTATCAATCTCAATTAATCTCCGAGAGTCTAAATCTAAATAACGAAAAGTTACGACTTAAATGTTAAGTTTTAGCTTAATTGACACTTCTGACTTAATTTAAACCTGCATTTTAACCCTGCCAATTTTGCAATATTTCACTGCATGAAAATAATTCAATTTGACGATTTAAATGTTTAAATCTTTTCCCGTAATCTGGATTAAACAAATGATCGTGTATCTAAATCCAAATATATTTGTTACTTTTCGCGCTGCAATTTTGTGAAGAAATTAAAATTACGAAAGAGCTGATGTGTCAATCCGTAATCTCCGTAATTCCCGTAATCTGCATGGTTCATATTTTCCCCGGGAAAGGAATTGAGTCTTTGGAACAAAATCAAATATTTAAACCTCAATATCTTTAGAACTCGATGTTGCAAACCTTTGATATTTCAAACTCAGATTATTTGATCTAACAGAATTCATAGTTTAAAATACATAAGGTCTGCAACATTTAGTTCCAAAGATATAGTGACTAGAAAATCAGAGTTTGTGGTAAAGACTCAATTCCTTTAAATTTTCCTTCAGGGTTAAATTTAGAACGGTTAATATTTTAGAACTTTCAAGCTATAATTTAAATTATCCGCATAATTTAGTTTTAGACTTAGAATGATTCGTTAAATATATTTTGGTTGTCCCTAGCTCAGATTTTTTTTATTGGATATCCTGCTTATAGTCTAAGAATTTAGCAACTGAACTCGATATCCAGTGGATAAATTTTAGAACCGACTTAAAATATTCAATTGGGAAACTCTCTAAGTTTGAAATATCAAAGATTCACACTTTCCGCCTGCTAACATATACGGATTAGAAAATTAGAGTTTGTTATTGTGTAAAAGACTCAATTTCTTTAATCTTTGAAATAGATTTCGCCGTCTGCGGATAAGGCTTAGTCTTCAACAAAAAGAACTCCCGCTAAGCCTAAAAATAACTTTTCATGGTTCACATAAAGGAAATAATTCTTTTATGTTTTCATAAAGTTGGAAAAGTCAATTTAACAAAGTTTGAACATTTTTTTCTTTGTTTTAAATATGTTTTTAGGTAAATATATATATATATATATATATATATATATATATATATAAAAGTATTTATATAAGTTCACGCAAAATTAAAATAAAGAAAATAATTTACTAATTCCTATATCTTCAAAACTTAACTAGAACAGCTACGAAGTTACAAAATCGTATCATTAATTTTGCATAAAGGAATTAAGTCTTTGCCACAAACTCAAATTTTCTAATCCCCAAATCTTTGTAACATGATTGAGTAAAGCTTTGATATTTCAAACTTAGATTATTTGATCTCACAGAAGTCTTAGTTTGAAATATTTAAAGTTAAGCCAATGGATTGCAAAGATATAGGGATGAACAAATCAGAGTTTGTGACTAGAACAATCATGTCCTTTGACCTTTTACTTATTTCTAGATTGGCTTACTTATTATTGATAACAGGTTAGAACTGATCCCCAGTTGAATTCTTAAATAGGAATTACTAATCCTTTTACCCTGAGGCCGAATTTAAAGGATTTGAGCCTAAGTTTAGATTTAAGCCGCGACTCAAATTTTGTTGGTTCCACTTAAATTTGTATTAAATTTTTCAAGATTTAAGCTGGCGGTCAATTGAAACCGGTTTTTGGGGGATTCATTAAATTCGGACACTGTACTAACCACTAACCAGGACTAGATGCATCGGGTTTCTTCAATTTGAATTTTATCGTGTTTTTGTCTTTAATTCAGCAATTTGTCTTTTCTACTTGCCATTTAGAGCACATAAGCTGACAAAAAAGTAAAAAAAGAGAGAAATACTAAAACTTTAAGCTTAATTGGTCATCAAACAACAAACTTGTGAGCTTACAAAAGTTTGATGCATTAGTAAATAAATAAAAGGTTTTCTGAGGGTTCTAGGTGGGGTGAATGGTCGACAGAAGCCGACTGAAATATAAGATGAGCATGCGTCGAGCTAATTAAATGAACAAGCATAAACTAAGTAAAATGGAGTCGAGTCTGTAAGTAATAAATTATATTAGTTCAAGTAAATAAATAGGATGATTATGGATAATATTGAGGGTAATGAAGGCAAATATGTGAGTACGCTAGGTGAATAAAAAGAATATATTTTGTGGGTATCACGGAGAATGTAAAACTAACAAAGGCGGATGAAATAAACTCACAAGCGCACCAGGCGGATACAATTACTAAATAAACCTGGATATCAGGTATACACATAGATTCAGATGAAATAGTAATTTAGGCGTATAAATGAGTTTACCTGGCGGAAATATGAGTTTACCTGGCGGATATATGAGTTTATCTGCCTGATATATGAGTTTATCTGGCGGATATATGAGTTTACCTGGCAGATATGTGAGTTTATCTGGCAGATATATGAGTTTATCTGGCGGATATATGAGTTTACCTGGCAGATACATGAGTTTATCTGGTGGATATATAAGTTTATCTGGCGGATATATGAGTTTATTTGGCGGATATATGAGTTTACCTGGCGAATAAATGTATTTATTTGGCGGATATATAAGTTTACCTGGCGGATATATGATTTTACGTGGCGGATATATGAGTTTATCTGGCGGATATATGAGTTTATATGGCGGAAATATGAGTTTATCTGGCGAATATATGAGTTTATCTGGCGAATATATTAGTTTACATAGCGAATATATGAGTATATCTGGCGAATATATGAGTTTTTCTAGCGGATATATGAGCTTATCTGGCGGATATATTAGTTAACCTGGCAAATATGTGAGTTTACCTCGCGGACATATGATTATACCTGGCGGATATATGAGTTTATCTGGCGGATATATGAGTTTACTTGACGGATATATGATTATACCTGGCGGATATATGAATAGTTTGAGCATCTCCGTCCTTGAAAACAAACTCTGCAACTGCTCCTGTAGGACCAACGGGTAGGAGACGGGATTCCGTCTTGGTTTCAATACTCAGGGTGCTTGGAAGTAGTGGAGTACTCTCAGAATATTTAAGCTCTAACTTGAGGATAGGAACCTGACAGTTTAATATAGTTAATATTCTGACATGTTCAGTTGATTCTTAGAATTAACAATTTGAGGATTTTTGACTCACATGAATTTCCAAACTGCAGGCATGTAATATACAATTAACAGATATAGAATTATTTCACTTTTATTATTCTTTTATTCTATTGAATTATACCTTTTGATATGTGCTACCAATTCCTCTTCTGTACCCATACTGCCATCTATACTTTAGCTCCGGAACTACTGGTTTCTTGTGCAGGGTAAACGGATTCTTTTTCAATTCTTCAACTGGAGATTTCATTTCTGTTTCTTCTTTTTCTTCTTCCTTTTCCTCTTTTTCTTCTTCCTAGAAAATAACAATATCTGAGAGGGACTGTAAGAGTAATTACTAAGTGTCCTTCCATGCAAATATGACAATGTTCAATTCACAAAGATACCCTTGAAACCTATATCTGATTTGTCGATTTTCTAGGTTTAAATTTTTTTCTGATAATTTTTATAATTTTTCCTGATGTAGACATGCACAAGTAGAGAAATCACCAGGTTATCGTTGGAAATTCGGCATTGCCATCTTTACATGAAGGGTCGATTAAACTTTGTTATCTTCCTCAAACTTTAATCTTTTAATTTGAACTATTTGAACTATTTGAACTATCTGAACTATTTGAACCCTTAGAACCTTTGCAACTCAATGTCGTAGACCTTTGATATTTCAAACTATGAATTCTGTTAGATCCAAAAGTCTAAGTTTGAAATATTAAAGGTTTACACCATTACGTGGCAAAGCTGATTACACAATTTGAGTTAGTGGCAAATACTCAGTTCATTCTCAAATAAAATAATAAAATTACAATAGTACACGGTTCACTTTAAATTACGTTGGCGGTCTCTTCTCGGAGATATAGGAGCTCAAAATACTAATTATTAAAGGGCAATCTTGGTAAAATGTTCGCGTTCATGGTAATTGAAGAATATTAAACTTAAAATTAAGACTCATTATCACCTCAACCTCTTAAATTATTTTTTTCAATTAGATTAATTTGATGAAAACAATGAAAAAGAATTGAGCAAGAGGAGAAAAATGTAACTCTCTAATCCATTTATAATATCAACTGTTTACTCCATTAAGTTTCAATCACTCCTGTATGTCCATTAGCGCCTTATTCAATCAGGGTTCAGTAATGTGTTTGGTGTTATTCTGAACCAATAGAAATAGTATGGCAGTAACATCTATCTTTCTATCTATCTCAATATCCAATTAGAGTTATGAACCCTTCAATCGGCGCTATCAGTGAGAAAATTTTAAGCCCGACGTAAATTTTCAGTTGATTTGTTTAACGGGTTATAGAAGCCGAACAGCGAAGATAAATATAAAACATGAAACATTATAGTTAATGATTTTTTCCAAACCAAATGTTTGTTTGATATGTTTGAATAGTAATATCCTTGAAAATCTTTCTATTCGACAGAGTAACAACGTTTTATTGCAAACATGTCAAAACCCTTTTACCAAAATATTGTAATTTATTTTCTAAAATATATTTAGAAAAGACGGGTTAAGCTTGAGAGGAATTTAATATAAAAATGATTAAATTTTGTTATTATTTATTACCGAGACATGAACTCTTGACTGAGCCTGTGGTTCCCATCTATCAATCTAAAAATTATCTATATTTATAAAGTTGTAATCTTTTTGTTTGTTTGTCTGTGTGTCTGTCAAATAATGTATCTCAAACTGATGAATACCGTCCGATTGTATTTTAATATTTTTAATAAGTTGTTTAAATTAAGACAAAAACTTCATGATAAAGGAATTGGGCCTTTGCAACAAACTCTTATTTCTAATCCCTTTATCTGCAGTGCAACCCAATGTTGTAGAACTTAGATATTTCAAACTATGAATTCTGTTAGATCAAATAACATAAGTTTAAAATATCAAAGGTTTACATCATTAGGTTACAAAGATATAGGGATTTGAAGATAAGAGTTTTCGGTAAAGACTCATGATTCCTTTCTGCATATTACTTTATTTGATTTTATCGAATTTAAAGGACTTCAGCAATTCTTCGTTCAGTTTTAAAAAGTAAAAATATGAGTAAATCTTTAAATTGTAAAAAAAGCAAATGATTTTTCGACTGTATGAAAGAAAGCTTTAGAACTGATGGCAAAATGGATCAGAAATTTTTTTATTCTAAACGTGACCCAAACTTATTTAGCACTTAACACTTATTTAACACTTTGTTTTCAGGTTAAAAATTTCAAAAACTTATGATAATTTCAAAATCATACAATTTTTGTTTTATTAGGTATAAAGTTTAGTTGAAAATTACATAAAAAGTTCCAAATGAAATATATTTATTTTTCCAATATTGAAGAAAGGAAAATTCTGGAAAATGTTGTTTTTACTCTAAAGTGTAAACAGAGTAGTTCCTAGAACAATATTTACATTTTAAACTGGTTTTGACTTAGAAGAATATGCATGTTTTTTTTAACAAACTCTGATATTATAATCTTTATAGTTTTGCAACCTAATGTTTATGGCCTTAAAAAACTCCAAACTTTGCGTTCTGTTAGATCAAATAGGAAATTAACGTCGAAACCTTTGTTAACCGAGTTAAGACTAATTGTACCTCCTAGATGCTACATAGAGTTGAGTGTGGTGTAGCGTGCTGTATAAAGTTTACGGGACGATTATTCCGAATCATTACATATGAAAAGTTGGATCCCGTGAAATTTTTCCGCATTTTTCAATCACACCGAGAGCTACGAAACCACGGTATTGTTCCTAACTTGCAGTTTAAAAATTCAAACTTGAGTAGGTTGTCTTTGTTTTATAGGCTAAACTAGGTGCCCAAGCAATTTTCTTAATGGATGGATCATTGGAAATGCCCAAATTTACATCATTCAGTCAAACAGCAAGCTTGATTTGAAATTCAAACCCCATAAATCAAAGCGTAAAGGCCATAATTTGATATTCAAACCCCATAAATCAAAGCGTAAAGGCCATAATTTGAAATTCAAACCCCATAAATCAACGCGTAACGGCCATAATTTGGCATTCAAACCCCATAAATCAAAGCGTAAAGGCCATAATTTTGATATTCAAACCCCATAAATCAAAGCGTAAAGGCCATAATTTGAAATTCAAACCCCATAAATCAACGCGTAACGGCCATAATTTGGCATTCAAACCCCATAAATCAAAGCGTAAAGGCCATAATTTTATATTCAAACCCCATAAATCAAAGCGTAAAGGCCATAATTGATATTCAAGCCCCATAAATCAAAGCGTAAAGGCCATAATTTGATATTCAAACCCCATAAATCAAAGCGTAAAGGCCATAATTTGATATTCAAACCCCGTAAATCAAAGCGTAAAGGCCATAATTTGATATTCGAACCCCATTAAGCAAAGCGTAAAGGCCATAATTTGAAATTCAAACCCCATAAATCAACGCGTAACGGCCATAATTTGGCATTCAAACCCCATAAATCAAAGCGTAAAGGCCATAATTTTGAAATTCAAACCCCAAAAATCAAAGCGTAACGGCCAAAATTTGATATTGAAAAACCACTATTGAATTGAACAAAAAGTATAAAAACACAATTTAAGAAAATTTGAATTTTATCGGTGATCATAATTGGTTCATGCAAATAGGCCGTTGATACAGATAAATGTTACAATTTTTACAGATACAGATAAAATTGCAATTTAGTATTTAAGATTGCTGGCCTGATATAAAAATGAATATGATATTTAGATTTTTTAAAAGAAAGCTTGTCATGAATATTTAGATAAAAATAAAAATAAGAGATAGATAAATAAATAGATTTGAATTAGAACATATGGATTGTAGATGTATTAAAATAATAAGAATAAAAAAGATAAATACCTCTTCCAGGTCTGGGACCGGGGTTTCTGTAGCATCTCTGGTTTCCTGATATGCTGCTTCCATACTGCGGAGAGGAGCATCAAATATAGAATCAATGCTCCGCTCGTCGAATCCACTGGTGAGAGAGGATTCAGAAGGAGACCTGGATAAGTAATTTTATCATATTTTGCAGAACTAACTAGTACTTTTAAAAGACTAAAGGAGTTATTTCAAGTGACCCTCCAGTATAAGATCGATCCACAACATGTAACCTTTAAAACTTTGTCTCATCAGGAATGAGTGAGATATCCATGATTTCTCTTATCATGGGTTTTCCATAAAACAATCTGTGGATTTCTTTCTACAGAAACGATTGAGAACTTTATAAGTTGTAAAATTGTGGGTGACCCTCTTCACGTGATGGGTACGTTTTATTAATTTTTTTTATTTGGAAAAGCTTATAAAATTACACGGTGTTCTGAAGTTAATATGCATTTAAAAGTATAAAATTTAAGTTCTGGTGCATAATTTTTCATCACTTTTGTTTAACCCGACCCATGGTTTCTACTATGTGGACAATCATATTTTGACCCCCTTTTAACAGAAAGAAGCCTTCGTCTTAAAGAAAATGAAAGAAGAAAGAACCCTCCAGAATGAGCCAAATGAACTGAGTTTTTGTCAAAAACTCTAGTTTTCTAATCTCTATATCTCTGCTATCCAATGTCGTAGACCTTTGATATTTCAAACTATGAATTCTGTTGGACCAAATAATCTTAGTTTGAAATATTAAAGGTTTACATCATCAGATGATAGGATTAGACAATTTGAGTTTGTGACAAAAAACTCAGTTCCTTTGAGATGTATTATAGTAAATAATAAATAATAATAATAAATCTATTTAGTAGGTCCAAAAATGAATTTAAACGTTCGTATTATCTTATTTCTTATTGTTAAAATGTAAACCTGTATGTATCCATATATGGAATAGTAACAGAATCAGTAACATCGTATCCCGGGGTAGCAAAACTACGTGAGTAACTGTCCTCTCTATAATCCTTGTTATGTATTGTAACATCTTCGGAGGCCTTAAATAGGGAAATTTTATAAATTTATATATGTATACATAAATCTTGTCTGTCAAGTTGATCTGTCTGTTTGAATCCAACAAACATCAAAAAGGCTGAAGAACCGTTAGGGCCCATTTTTTTGTGGCAACCTACATAACCCTCGGAAGGTTTGTGGACAGTTGAAATTAAATAATTTCGATAATTAAACTTTTAAAAAATCCACCGGCACCAATGAAAACAGAAAAATCAATTAATATGTATTTTAACGTAACCCAATTTTTTGGTACCCGTTTCTGGATTTGAAAAAATGGGGAAATTAAAAACTGATATCTAAAAATTCAAACTACAACGTGTGTATTAAATATAAATTTGTCATATTGTTTATAGATTTTGAAACCATACCTAACCATGGCTTTAAAAAAAAATATGGAAATTTATTTTAATTTAATCGCAATTTCAAGATTCTGTCATTGTTTTACATTTAAGCGCAAACTCTTGGCGTTGAAAATAAAAATTTTTGTTTGACAGAATAAAGATTTTGCCGTGGAAAGAATAAAATGGTTTTATTGGGTTTGGAATAACTGGATAACGAACCAAGAAACCCAGGACTGCATTTTCCAATTTTCCAGCAAGTGATTGCATTCTGAACACGGACAGGGGTGCACAAATACTTCTTTTATACATTTTATTTAAAAAACTATTTACTCTGTAAATGATATAAAAATTTTGAGACAACAATTTTTTTAGCATAAAAAAATTGTGTTTGATACTCTCCATAAAGATGCTTGATAAATTACAAAAAGGAAAATTTGTCCAATGATGTTCCAAAAATACTAAAAAGATAGTAGTAAGTATATTGGGAAATTTATGTTTTGAGGTTAGTTGTATTTAGGCCTAAAATATACACTTTGATAGTGGGTAAACGGTCTTCGGGGGAATACCCTTGGTGGCTAAAGATATTCTTTAAACTATAAATCACTGTCCATGTACGATTTTTTTAGAGCATCAGTTTCTATCAGTTTATTTATAAAAAAATGACCAACTATAACAAAGGAATTGAGTTTTGATATATTTCAAAATTCTAATATTTGATGTGACAAAATTCATAGTTTTAGATGTCTAATTTTTTTTACGAACAATCCTAGCCCAGAAATCCCACTTTGTCCCNACTGTACTGTACTTGTGTACTGTACTTTTACAAACACATTTCTTTGATTATTTTATTTTCATAGAACACTTTACTTTGTATACTGTACTGTACTGTATACTGTACTGTACTGTACTGTACTGTATACTGTACTGTACTGTACTTGTGTACTGTACTTTTACAAACACATTTCTTTGATTATTTTATTTTCATAGAACACTTTACTTTGTATACTGTACTGTACTGTACTGTATATATGTACTGTACGTATTTGTAAACTCAAAATTCTAATTTTTTATCCTTATCCTATAATCATATAAAGTTTAAAATATATCAATCAGCGTGCAAAGATGATAGGAATTTTAAAAGAACAGCTTCATGCTAGTTTGCTTTTAAAATCAAATAGTTTACGATTAAAATATTTCATAAAAAAGGAAGAATGCTTTTTATGAAATTCTCTCATTTTCTAAATTGCAAATTATACAAAAATTATCATTATCAATTAGATATTTCCGGCGCCAGCTTATACAAATGATAAATAGCGAAAAGTAGCCGAAATTGATATGAATGTTGGTGCTACCCTTTTATAGTGTGTTCAATAGAAAATATAGTTCAACTAGCACCACTTTTCGCTTTTATTGAATCTGACCTTCAGTTTTCTTTTTTAATTGGAGGTCTATATATATTCTATATATTCTATATATTCTAATATCCGAAATCATTTTTAATTTATCAAAATACTTTTTGAAGATTATATTTAACCTACCTTTATATTTCCCGATATGCTTGTCACAGTCATAATATAATCCTGTCCAGCATCAAGTGTACTTAATCTTTCTTGTACTTTCACATAATACAGGTTCTGTCTTTTCCTAAATATTCAGTTCATATTTATTTGTCTTGCACTTTCACTTTGTACGGGTTCTGTCTTTTCCTAAATATTCAGTACACATTTATTTGTCTTGCACTTTCACATAGTACAGGTTCTCGCATTTTCTAGATATTTAGTACATTAATATCAATCTTTCTTGTACTTTTACATAGTATTTAGATTTTGTACTTTCCTAAATAATTAGTACAATAGCATCAATCTTTTTTTGTATTTTCATATAGTACAGATTCTATATTTTCCTAAATAATTAATAAAAAAGCAGTAATCTTTCTTGTACTTTCACATAGTCCAGATTCTAAAAATTCAGTACATTTCATTTTATCTGTTCTGTATGATTGTACATCGTACTGATTCTGTCTTTCCAAAATTTATATATTTTCGCGCATAAATGTGCCTATTTTAACAACCAACTTCATAGACAATAAACATTTTTTTGTATATTCTAAAGTTTTCATTTGTGTTTGTGAGGTCTAATGAAATGCATTCTGCTGTAGTTGCAAAACTTATAAAACTTTTGATTATGTTTGAACGCTATTTAATGAGTAAAAGTTGTATTTTTCGAACAAAACTAAACCTCGAAAAAACTAAAAACCTTGAGTCTAAAACTAAAGAATGCGCGAATTTTAAGTTCGAGGTTAAAAGTTCTGTAAAATAATGAATAGCTACTTAAATATTAAACTTTCTCAATTTTAAATTTGAATTTCCCGGGAAAAATCTGAACCAATCAGAGAAAAGGATTTACGGAGAATATTACATAACCATCGCTAATCAGCTGTTATTACGTAACCGAAAACAAAACATATTTTGAGTTACAACCGTTTTTTGGGTTTACATGCATAAATTAATTTATCTAAAACGTGAATTTTCTTTAACAAGGTTTTCACTTTTAAATATATCGTAAAGTTAAATGTCGCTAATTCTCAGCTGAATGATGATTGAATAATAGACAAATAGGGAAAATGCAGGATTTCAAGATTTTAACCCTGTGTTTAAATTTTAACTCGTCGATTTCGGCGAGTTAAATATTTAACCGCAGGGTTAAATATTTAACCTTATGATTAAAGTTCAGGTTTAAATTAAGTCAGAAGTGGCATTTAACCATGAACTTAAAATTTAAGTCAAAACTTTTCGTTCTTTAGTTTTAGACTCTGATTGTTAATGTATGTCCGTACAAAAGACCGATTCTATTTTTTTAAGGATTGAAAAGACTTGGTAGCGCGTTAAGTCAAGCCTACAAATGGGTCATAGTTCTGCCAATAGAAAGTCGGATTTAAAAAATCGAAAATTCAAAAATATTGCCTCTTCACCTGAAAACAACTTGACCGGCCTTATTCTTAATCTCCAATTGAAGCTTGGTAGGTAGAAGGGAAGAGGTCACATCATACCTGCAACATCATAGAACTTACGATAAAGCCAATTGAAACTGAGCTAAAGGTAGGAACTTCCTGAAAAATAATTACTTCGTAGTCTTTGTGAGGCGACATTTTTTGTTAATTTCTTCGGTCGATCAGAGATCCCAATAAGATACTTTCACGCATATAACACCGTTTCAAACTAAACGTTAATACTTTGGATATTATTATTAATTCAAGCGTTATATATTATCGCATTGTCACTCTAAAGTTCCGAGCTAAGGTCACCAACTAGCGTTAATTATGTTGCCAGGCTTTGCCCCTTGGTGTGACAAGTATCTATTAATTTACTGTTTATAGCCCTGGAAAGTGGCCGTTTATAAGACTTTCTCAGCTTGCTATATAAACCAGACTCCCATTTTTATCAAATATGTTCAATGCTAAAAATAATAAGATAGGTTTTCTCCAATTATAGAATGGTAATATTTCTGTCTGAGGAAAATCGTGTAATATAAAAATGCTTGGCAGCATTAGGGTTTAGCATTGCTGATAAAGAAAGTATAAAAAGACATCACTAAGGTCTTGAATTTCCATTTTAGTAATTTGTCTGTCTGGGTTTGAAAGTACATTATGTGAAATACGACAAGAATTCAAAGAATTATTAAATTGATACTTTTGGAAGAATACTTTTGAAGGATTTGAGAGAGGAAAACAAGCTTAGTAATAATTAGGTTGGCTTTTTAATATTCCTTCAAGAAACTGCAGTATACTTTCTGTTAACATCATAGGCCGGATTTAATGAATTAACAGACGCAGTTGAACTTCCTAGACTTTGTTCAACGACTTACATTTAACTTCAACCTGCGTACAAAAAAATTAAATCTAGTATAGTATATGAATAAAAATCAATAAAGCAATGCACTGAGTTTCTCAAATATTC